AATATTTTAAGTGGAAAAAGATCTTTTGGTCATAATTATACAAAAATTTCATTAAGGTTTGTAAATTTCTTCCAGGGGGTTGAGAAACTTTTTCACAAGAACCCGGAAGTTGTCTGAAGTTTTCTGCAGTCTTCACAAATCCGTGTCAATTTGTTTTAAAAATATGTATTGGAGATTTGTCAGCCATGAACACTGTTGAATACTCTCAATGTGGTTTCAGCAACACACACTTACAGGCGGGCATAAAGGTTTGACTTACTCTGAGCAATCCAACGACTGTTTTGCAAACTGTATGTGAAGTCTTCAGTTCCTGGGTCTTATGGTCACTGGCTCAATTTGAACTCTCGTGGTTGAAAGAGAGCTTTAGTTTACCTTGAGTGACCAAAGCCTTTCTTGCTGGCTTGGTTGACTTCTTGCTTGCTTGCTTATTTTTGCATGATAAATCATCTGTAAAAACTGAAACAGGAGAATAAACTTAGGGGCTGAAATCACAGGAAATGACAGACTATTCAAGGACGGATCCAGACTAATTTTTTTGGGTGGGGGGTAGTTTTGAAATTTTCCATGTGTCTGGTAGCTGTGATCACATTGAAACTTTACACCAAACATTGCAGCGCTCAGCAATCAGTCGTCGGCACATGTGTACCGACATGTGACGGCATGCTTTTGAGAATGGTCCGCTGAGCTGGTGCACCATGACGTTGTCTCCAGGACGTACATACAGCGCAAATCACTATTTGAACAAGATGGTGACATCACGCTTGACAACAAGATCATGTCCAATTTGAGAGGGAAATTTCTTCTTCCTAAATTTTTTTCTTCCTAAATGTGAGTAAACCTTATCATTGTTGGAATTGCTGATTCTCACTTGATCCTGAACTGGGTGCTTTAGACAGTTTAAGGATCATTTTGGAGGTGAATTCAGAGGATTTTGATTTTCGGGTACGATCTACTTTGACTGAAATTAATTAATGGAAGCAAAAGCCTATAGAAGATACTTGGGCCTGACCATGTCCAAATATGAAAAGAAGTTACTCAGACTAACATATCACCTAGGCCTGGAACCTCTTCCAGAAAATGAGATCCTGTAAGTTAGTAGCTCCTAGAAAAAATTGTGCAAAGTTCCTTAGGCTTCTTCAACATTCAATACAGCATTTAAGCCCTAGCCAAGGCATACATTGTGAAACTCTCTTCCAAATATGAAAATTTCATGGTTTGGTTCCTTTTTCTTTTCCAAGACATGAGGCTACATGCCAACAACAAGGAAACAACACAGACTGAACACTGCCTTTTACCATATATTCAAAATTGATCCCCTGGGCTAGCCTAGGCATTTAGTAGGCATTTCAGTGACGTCACGAATTTGTTCGGATGACTGTTTGGAAGAATTTGGTACTTTCAATATTATACAAAAACAACTATTTACAAACTTTGATCACCAACAAACAATTGTCTTCCATATTTTTACTGAACATCGCATCTCTCATCTGTGAATGTTTTAATTCAATACAACCAATATTAACAATATAAAGGGCGAAAAAGTGACAAAATTCTGGGCCTCCATGCATGTTGGCGATCAGCCCGTTTTTACCGAGACAAGTTCCACAAGGCTTGCCTTTGCCTAAGCGGGCACACAAGTTGCAAAAAGCGTACCATTGTGAAGATACAGGGTATGAAAGAGGGGTTAATGGCCTACATTTTGAGGGGTCAAACGAAGAAATCGGCCAAGAATTGCGAAAATGATGACCCCAAAAAACCGACATATTTGATATCAGTCTCATATTTTTTGTTTGTCTGGATTTTAATTTTGAAATGTAACAGTTGTACTTATCTTTGAGTCTAGGTGATTTTTAAAAGAAAAGTCGTGCAAATACCCCTTTGAAAATAATGTGCTGTACGAGCGGCATCATCAAATTCTGCCATCCAGGAACTTTGCGCCGATTCTTTGTCGAATTCTCAGTACCAATATGTGCTGAAGAAATACACGTTGTATTAGGGAACTGCCGATGCATGCCAAGCACTGGTTGCGATCGCAGGCTAGTGCTGTGCACAATGTTAATTGCATACTACACGCAAGTCAAAAAATCACACAGGACTACTTTGTCATCAGCCAAGTGCCAAATATCTTCAGATTTGATAGGTTAGAAGAGGATTTAGTAATTTTTCTACTCAATACTTTGCACTTTATTTTAGAGATTTGTGAGACACTGGGAAGAATTGATGACTAATCAGTTGATTGAATGATCTTCTGTGCCTGTGTGTCGGTAATTGATGGCAAACACAGATTCTCAAATCAAAATCTCAGAAATATCTTTAATTTCAAATAAACAACAGTTTAAACACATTTCTTTCAATAATTTAATATGGCATAGAGTTTATTTTGTGTTTCTTAAATATTTTATTGTTGCTGGTGTTATTGTTGAGACTTGAGTTATTGTTCTGACCTGTGATTTCTGACATTTTTAATTTTAAGTTTAATATCCATGTTATGGATGTAAATAATGTGGATGTACACCATCATGTACCTAATTACAGCTAAACTGTTCTTATTCTAGTTAAAGATAAAATACACTGGACAGAAAAAGAAACTTGCCACTTCTGTCAAAGGCTACACATAAAAATTCACTCCATAGAAACAAACAATTTTTCTATTTTTTGTACACAGGTATGCTCCAATACCCCTTACTCATCACACGCCCAAAAGCAAGTGATTATCTTTATAAAAAAGGAGAAATTGACATGCACAGCAACTTGGTTAATGAATCAAAAGTCACAGAATGAGCCTTAAGTTTTATGCAGAAGTCAATGTCACAGGACGAAATAAAGAAGTCACAATCATTACTTTTCAATAATGTGTATGCATAGTCAGTAAGGATGGCATCCCCATACAGAAACCACTCATGCACATCATTTTGACAAAACAGGTCTTCACTTTGTCATTGGTTGTTTAAAATGTCCATTCATGGGTCATGTTTGCTTGATGGGGAGTGCTTTTCTGTGTGACTTTTTCACACACTGCTTGTCCAGTGTACATGTAGTTGTTATTAGGCACATGAGAATGAATAAAATATTCAAAGTGCATTCAACCACATACATTACTCTGTATAATTATAATTATACAACAAATTGGGCTTATTTCCATGGCAACAAATTTTCTTGTGGAAGGGTGGACATTAATTTCAAATGGCATGTACCTCCAAATTGGCTATGAAGTTTAGCTCACCATTGGTAAGAGTGGTATGTCCACATAATGACTTGTGACGTTGTGAATTATAATACATAAATGTCTGGTTTCCATGGCAACGGTTTGAATTCAGAAGTTAAAGAAACATGAAAATGCAGGCATGTCTGTTTATCAAATTTTGAAAATTTGGTGGGAATTGGACAAATTGTGGTGAAGATATACTACCCTTTTTTTTTATAGTTTTTTGTACTAAATATATTGCCACGTCATTAACCCTAACTCCCTAGGGTGTAGGGGGAAATCGGAGGATTTGGGACTGTTAGGGTTAATGCAATTGGTCATCCGAAAAAAACCCACATAATCTAAATTTAAAAAATTCAATTCCGGCCTTGAAGTCTTCAACTAATGGCCACACCCAAACCTCAAGTGCGAGAATGAGCCGTGAACTGAACCAAGACAAATGTTTTATATTTCTCAACTAAACTTTCATGAAATGTCTTTAAAAGCATCTACAGTAAGACTGGAAGATTCTGCTTTATCCAGGAAGGCAAAACAGCGACATATTCATCCAGAAAACTGAAAAGTTACCTTGAGTTTTGGAAGTCACATTCCTCATGCCCGCGAAGAAATGAATGTCGCAACAAGCCACGTGTTGTGGTCGTTGCTGCGCAGCCGCGATATATAAATTCCTTGGGGCGCTCCCCCTGTACTAAACAGCATCGACAAAACAACAAACATCGCCTAGCGAGGTAAATGCTTATTTAATCACGTGAACTTTTCGTTTTTCTCTAAAAGATGACTTTACACCAAGAAATAGCGAATACATCGTGCCTGTATCCCATTTTGCAATAATGACAGTTAGGTAGTGTGCTTCGCAATAGGGTGGTCGTTTTAATACCCAACATGCAGTTATAAAACAAAACTGTTACTGACTCCTACATGCTTATGTGCGGCATAGGACCACTAGATATTCGTCAAACCGAACAGATAAAGATTGAGGTGTGTTCCCCCGTTAAGTGCGCGCGGCAAGGCTCGCCTTTGATTGGTCGTTTAATAGACAAGGTTGTTTTTCTATTTTACATTATGCAAATATTAATACAACCTTCTTCCCTGAATCCACTCGGGAACACAATTTTTGGAGGTAGGAATCGTACTGCAGTGTATCCGATATCTGCGACGAGGTTGGAAGGACGGAATGAATCCGATAATTTGTCCAAAGATAATAATTGTTTGAAAGAAACAAAAATAAGTTATGCGCCGTGTTTTTTTTGTGTTTTTTTTTAACGCAGCAGAACAGTTATTGACTTTTTAAAATAAAATCTTTACAATGACACGATGATTTCATTTTGAAGGAAAACGGGGGGTCTTCTCGGTAGTCTACAAAGTACAAACTTCGATAGGCAAACTGCCTCACATCGCCTCTTTTCAGGTTTTAAGGAAGCCAGATTTTCTCTGCATATTATAATTATCTTTTCTATTTTATAGATCATGGTTTTATTCAGCAAAATCTTAAAACCTCTGGATTCTAATCAAAATAATACATACATCAGAAAAAAATGCCTTCAAGTACAATAGTTTATTTGAAATATCAATAAGACAATAAAAATGCCAACAAAACTGTACATTATTTTACAGAATGAACTCTCAGTATACTGACAGTTGCGACTGAAGCTGTACCATCTTCAATGGTTTCTTCATAAATCCTGACAGCCAGAGACTAGTAGATTTATTTCATCTCAACAACAATCATGATATAACAGTACAAATTTCACTTCAGTTTGAAGCCCAACATCTGCCACTGTTGCTATGCAAAACTGCTCCACCTTGTACCCAGTGAAACTGCTCCACCTTGTACCCAGTGAATTTGTTTTAAAAGCACTTAGAGAAACAGAAAACTCAAAAGGTACCAATGAGTACTCCATGATTGCCCATGATATGATTATCAACAGTTTAGAATTTTTCAAATTTAAAATTCTCAATTCATGCTAATCAATGACAATAATAATAATAATAATAAGTAAAAAAACAGTTGAAGCTTGAGACGGAGCCCAAGTTGATTATTGGAAACAGCCTAAATGTCACAAAATGAAGCTTACGGTGCAACCCTTGCCAACTTTTCGCATCAGATGTACAAACACTGACCACCGATGCACAGCAAATGGTGGCACCACACTGCGTTGCCTGAGGGTACCTCATACATTTCTGCCACAAGAGGGCGCTGTTGTGCACAGAGCTAATACCGTCCAATTTGTGATTAGTCCCACAGCTTGATTTGCCCATCCCAGCCACAAGTGATCACCTTGGAGGTTTCGTGAGGATGCCAGAGACAACCGATACACACGCCATCGTGTGCCTTGATTCGGCTGTACAGCTTGGTGGATTTCCAATCCCAGATGTTCAGTTTGCCGTCTGCGTCCCCAGACACGACATAGCTGTGGAGAAAGGGCAAGCAAAAAACAAAGCTGTGAGAAAAGTTAGCCATCATAAGGAACAGCCTGTTCACAGGATAAATTTTGAAACTCACAAAACTTGTGACTTCATAGCCTCATGAAAAAAATCATTTGCGATTGAATGGAATCAGTGATACCAAAATTAACAAGAACTTTGACAATCTAGGGGATGCCTTTTATTTGTTATCAAGGAATAGACCAGAGTTATTGGACAACCAGCTCCAGTGCCTTCAGTTCCAGGGTTGGACATTTATTCACAAAGTTAGAAACCAAGAGATGAGATTTCATTTGACTTATTCGACATTTCACATCATCCTCGTCATTCAATGCACAGACCATTTACCTCATATCTGGTGAGAAGTCCATCTGGCATGCATAGCCAGCTACCATGTGGCCCTTGAAGATCTTTTTCTTGTTGAGGCGGAAGCGGTTGTGGGCGCCATAGATCAGGATCTGGTTGTCCATGGACTGACAACCGAGCCATTTGCCTGGACAATATAAATAGAGACACAGGATGGTAACTATCAAAATTACAGTTGTTAATTGGCCAGGCCTTTCCTTACTGGCAGTATTTTCAGACAAGAGTTCCAGACTTCAGAAAAGGGGGTACAGTTGAACTGGCATGATGTCAACAAAGAGCTGGAGAAATCGGTTAGTGAAGCTCCAGCAGAAATTTCTGTCAAAGGTTTGAATCTAGCTGAAGTCAGTTTTCCTTTACAAGGCAGAGTTTTAATTGAAAGTGAACCTATTTATTTTTCTTTCAATTTATCTAATAACAAAATGTTTGATACCATAAGACCATTTAAAGACTATGTATTAAATATCATTTTTGTATCATATACAAAATATCAAACTGTACAGATGTCATACACAATTGAGCTTAATTTTGAAATTATGAGTACATACATGCTCAAACAGAACAATTCCGATAATTTTGACAGATTTTGAAGTTCTACTATATTTGGGGTCAACTTTTGGTTTGCTGGAGCTGAATGTCTTACCATTATCACTAAGTGTGACACTGGGCATGGAATGCATGGATGGATCGGCGATGTACTTATAGTCAACCGGAATATCCCATTCCCAAACTCGCATGCTCTTGTCGTCGGACGTTGACACAAATCGTCGACCCAGGTCAACAAATGTGATGGTGTTGACGGCACCAAGATGCCTGTCATATTCTTGTACAATCTCATTCTCTCGCATGTCCCACTGTTGGTGATAAAATAGAAAAAAATGTGACAAGTATCTCAGAATGAACAGTTCATTTTTCATATCTTTGTAATGTTCCGCTTTCATGCAGGCAGACACACTGGCTTTTTTTTATTTTGGGGGGAAACAGTGACTAAAGGAACTACATGCAATACAAGAGGTCGCAAAAATCACCACTCCTATAATATTAGTCAAAAGAAAAATGCCATTAATTTACTTTTTATGTGTCAAGTTTTGGTGGACCAAGGCAGAACCCTTCCAAAACGGCACAGGAATTTATCCTTAAAGATCCACTTACTTGCACGATTTTTTTGTCTGACATTCCGGCAACAAAGATGTGCTGTTTTTCCTCTTCCGGATGGAACTTGACACAGTAAGGTACTTTGCGATTGGTGTACCGACCCAAACACTCGCCTAGTAAAAAAAAGAAGACAATTTGAAAGTGAACCACTGATGAAAATGAAGGAATATTAAAAGGAAAATTGAAAGAATATTGTACAAAAATCATATCAGATTGAAGAGTATGTCCGGTTGTGTTGATTAATTTGATGGTAGATATTTTGGATTGACAGAAATAAACTACTGTTGAAATTATTCCAAATTGCTGAACACTTTGATTTTTAACAGCTCCGTACATGAGTGCCAAGGGCGCTGCTCCGTACATGAGTGCCAAGGGCGCTGC